CAGAAGGACCTGCCTGAGGCTCTCTTACAGCTAATATTTTCTAAAAAGCAAGTGGTAGTATACTTTAAAATAATGATAATGACTAAATCTCTAGTTTTATGAATCTAAAACAGTCCTTCCATCCTTTCCTCCTGTGATGACGTTGACTTTTTGAAGAGACTAAGTTGTGTTAATGGCATTTTTCACTGTGTTATATTTTAGAGATTCATACTGAAATATTTACCTATGAAATGGGGAAAAAGCTGTTACAAAAATACAGTGCATAATTAATTTGCCTCAGATTGAATTTAAACTTCCTACCTAAGTGGAATCAGAAAGCTTATCAATTGTACAAGTAAACATACCGGATTGACTTTTACATGGCGATAACAGTGGAAAACACTGTATGTTTATGATTCTAGAACTCTACCTAAATTTAGCATAGTTTTAAACTTAAGTTCATTAGTGGTTTAGCTCATCAAAATATGTGGGTGAAAAAATTTTAAAATCCAACAACAAAAAAAATCCTTAAATAATACAAGAATAAAATTCTCAGACTCATTCTAAGTCATTCTACTCAGAAATAACCTTTGTTATGGTCCAAATGCTTGCATCTCCCTAGAATTCCTAAGTTGAAACCTGACCTCCAATGTGATGGTCTTAGGAGGTGACACTGTTGAGAGGTGACTAGGTCACATGCTAGATCGTAGGGCAAAAAAAAAAAAAAAAAAGGAAAAAGGAAAGATGACCAGGTCTGGAGGTCAGCGCCCTCATCAATGGGACTAGTGACCTTAAAAAGAGGCTCCAGAGAGCTGCCTTCCTCCTTCCACTATGTAAATACACAACTAGAAGACCATCTATGAGCCACAAAAAGGGCCCTCACCAGGAACTGAATCTTGCAACATGTTGATCTTAGACTGCTCAGCCTTGAGAATTGCGGGAAAGGCATTTTTGTTGTTATAAGCCACCCAGTCTATGATATTTTGTTATAGCAGCCTGAATGGACTAAGACAACGATCATGATCATTGACAGGTGAAAAGCACACCCAGCTATCTCTCTGTATATCTATATGTGTAGACAGGTAACCAAACTTCTAAAGTACTATATGGTATTGTATATTCAACGCGAGGCCTATGTGTCCATTTCTTGCTCTGGCTCTACTCTCCCAGTATGGCAGGGGTTTCATCACTGCAGGCTGCGTTTCCCAGGCTCCTGTGTCAGCTGACATCTGTCTGGAATCAGTCAATGAGAGGCTCATGGAAACTGGAGGGTGTGAGAAAAGGGAGAAGCCTGGGGTATAGTCTTCACATGAGCTGTGCTTCCTTCGGCCCCTGTGGTTCAGGTGAACACTGCTTTCTCACTTTGTCCCTTCAGTCTAAAAACAGAGTGGCTTCTGGCTATTACTAATCACCATGTTAACTTCCTAACACGTTTTGCGTTTTCTTGTTTGTTTTTCGACAGGCTCTTGCTGTGTTGCCCAGGCTAGTCTCAAACTCCTGGGCACAAGTGATCCTTCTATCTCAACCTCCCAGGTAGCAGGGATTACAGGCGAGTGCTACCACACCTGCTGCTATCATGTTTGATTTAGCTCTTCCATTACCTGAATAACTAATTCCATGTATTAAATTCCCTCATTTAAAACACTTGAAGCAGTTTCTAGTTAGACCCTGACTTCTCTATAAGAGCTGCTCTTTAATTTAAATGTTCTAATTTTAATTAATTTTATTTAAATTTGATACAACAAAAGGACATGAAGTTAAAAAAAAAAAAAAAAAAATTCAGGCTGGGCATGGCGGCTCATGCCTGTAATCCCAGGACTTTGGGAGGCTGAGGTGGGCAAAAAAGAAGTAGTAGTATACTCTAAAGTAATGATAAAAACTAGTAATACGTAAACTAGTATAATCATCATCAAGGATTATGTATTGCATATAATTTTATGTGCTATACTTTTATATGACTGGTAGTGCCAGTTTGTTTATGCCAGCATCACCACAAACATGTGAGTAATGCATTGCACTACAATGTTAGGATGGCTGTGATGTCACTAGGTGCTAAGACTTTTTCAACTACATTATAATCTTACGGGGCTATCTTTGCATATGCAATTGACCAAAACACCATTATAGTGTAAGACTGCATTTTAAACTGCTTTTGCATTTTAAACAGTAAAAGTAGACACTTTTTGAAAAATTAGTACCTACCAGCTTTGTCTCCTCTCTCTTCTCAACAATTTTTCAGTTATATGGTATCTATTTCATCCAGGTTTGTAACATTTCCCTTTTATTCTGTAATCATAATTTCCCAAGTTGTTTAGTATTTGTAAAGTTACATATTTAAACCAGCTATTCTTTACTAAAATGTAAGTTTCATGCAGGAAGGATGAGTTAATTTGCTTCGTTCACTGAAGTATCTGAAGCACGCAGAAGAACGTCTGGCACACGGTAGGCATTAATAAACACTTGTTGTTCAATAAATTATTTTCCCAAATTTTTACTTCCTGAGTTTAAAATTTTCTCTAATTGGATTTGATTATTGCATGTAAGTACATAAATAAACATAAAGATTTACACAGATGTTTCTCCTCCCACCCCATCCCAAGAAAAACTCAGGCATGTTGTGTTGCTTGAGTTCCTTCACGTTTGAAAAATGACCATCTTTTCTCTGTGTGCTTGTGATGGTTAATATTGAGGGTCAACTTGAAGGATGCAAAATATTAATCCTGGGTGTGTCTGTGAGGGTATTGATTGGACTGAAGGATGCAAAGTATTGATCCTGGTGTGTCTGTAAGAGTGTTGCCAAAGGAGATTAACATTTGAGTCAGTGAGCTGGGAAAGGCAGACCCACCCCCTTAATCTGGGTGGGCACCACCTGATCAGCTGCCAGCGCAGCTAAAGTACAAGCAGGCAGAAAAATGTGAAAAGACTGGCCTAGCCTCCCGGCCTACATCTTTCTCCATACTGGATGCTTCCTGCCCTTAAACATCGGACTCCCAAGTTCTTCAGTTTTGGGACTTGGACTGGTTCTCCTTCCTTCTCAGCTTGCAGATGGCCTATTGTGGGGCCTTGCGATTGTGTGAGTTAACTTTTTTTTGAGATGGAGTCTCACCCTGTTGCCCAGGCTGGAGTGCAATGGTGCAATCTTGGCTCACTGTAACCTCCATCTCCTAGGTTCAAACAATTCTCCTGCCTCAGCCTCCCAAGTAGCTGGGATTATAGGTGCCCACCAGCATGCCCAGCTAATTTTTGTATTTTTAGTAGAGACGGGGTTTGACCATATTGGCCTGGCTGGTCTCAAACTCCTTATCTTGTGATCTGCCTACCTCGGCCTCCCAAAGTGCTGGGATTACAGGTGTGAGCCACCGTGACCAGCTGTGAGTTAATATTTAAACTCCCCTTTATCTATCTATCTATCCCTTCTATTAGTTCTTTCCCTCTATAAACCCTAACACAAGAAGCTCTTCAAAACACCATGGGAAATATAAAGCAGTGGTTTTCACACTTAAATTACAACCCATGAGTGTACTTCGACATTATTCTAGTGTATTATAACCAATATATTTTTTTTAAAGGAACAGAATAAAAACAGCAGAGAGCATTGCATATAAAAAGGGTAAGTATAGTTTCATGACACTTAAATATATGCTTAGGTGTTGTGAGTTTATGTATTGGGCTGTGATGTAAAATGTATGTCTAACAGTGAGAAACATTTATTTAACGGCAACAGGGTCTATTTACAAACCAAATAGACCAGGTGTTTTTGTCCTTACTGAGGACTGAGGAGTCTGAGGAGTCTGTAACAGGGTATTGGGGAAAATAAGCTCTCTGATATCCCTCTTACTTTTCTCATAGCATATACAGTAACTATGTAAATGGAAGCCTATCAAAACATCTTGGAACCCACTACCTTATAACTCATAGGTAGTAGCTAAAAAGGTGCACCTCAGTGCTTCAGACTATTCATTACAGTAAGTTTTCACTTTGATAAACTTTAGGTCAGTACCATACTATATAAATATTAATGATGACTCTTCATAAAGAAGTTGTGACTAGTTACAGCACACTGGTCGCTGAAACTACTAATAAAATGTAAGTAAAGAGATTCATTTATCACACTGCTACTGCATTGGTAATTAAAGGCAACCACAATTAAGGGGGAAATGAATACAGACCACAGATGCTAAAGCCATGCATGAAACTAAGAGATGTCAAATCAAATCAAACAAATGTTTAACATTTTATCAGATCTAAAATAAGTAAATCTTCTTTCAGTAAATTTTCATAACCTGATGCATCACAAAATGCCCACAAAACTTCTAACTTAAAAATTATATAAAATACATTTTGAAAGCTCTTAATTCAAATTATTTAAATATTAGCATCAGCAGACACTAATATTATTCTGAACATGGATTTGCATGAATCAGAAGTTTAGCTGAAAGGCTAAGTACGACAGAACAACAACAACAAAAAAAATCAAAGCCAGTGGTGGTGATGAGCATCTGTAGTCCCAGCTACTCCAGAGGCTGAGGCATAAGGATCCCTTGAGCCCAGGAGTTGAAGGATGCAGTGAACTATGACTGTGCCACTGTACTCGTTTCTGCCGCCTCATCTCTAAAAAAATTTTCTTAATATCCAAATTTCTAGAGGAAAACTTTTTTAAAATCCCAAATTGGCAAAAAATGCCTGACTATATCAGCACTGTATTTAGAAATTAGGGAGGTATAGGAAAAAGGTTAGGCAAACCCTAATGCCCAAAACAATAATTTCAGAAACTGAAAGCATCTTGAAAACCACTTAGCAATATAGAACTCTACATTTTAACAAAAGCAGGGATAATTTTGATTCACAAATGTCCTTTGTTGTGAATGTACCTAGAAACTTGTTTATAAAGCTGCCTATATGCCGTGGAAAAGTCTTTTTACAAGCTCTCAGGAAAATAACCACTAAATAATATGGTGCACTTATATCGCACTGATTATAACAGTATGACTCACAGCTGATACCGTGCAAATACAAAGATATAACACATGGCTACTCATACTCAGTACCATGAAAACATTTCTCTAAGAGGTCAATGTAATAATATTTTATTAATCTAGGAACTCTGGCACTGAAAGCGTGAATAACTCAAGGTGATGATGTCGTCACCAAGGGATGACAAGAATAGAACCCAAATCCCTTGACTCCCAAGCTTGTGTTTTCCATTAATTGCGCTCCTTTCTATTCATCCACGAGCATCAAGTGTAAAAGGTTAGAGAAAGGACTGAATACAAATAAGCCAAGTCCGCGAGGTGGAGACTGCACTGAAGGTCCTCGGAATCGCCCTCTGGCACTTTCCCTGTTTTGGCCGAGGAAGATGAAAGCAGCAGCAACCACAAACCCCTGGGACCAAGAACTGGAACTAGGTACTGCCTGTTGTGGTAACTCTCCTCCTCATTTTAGGCCGTTCCTTTTTAACCTCTCCTTCCGGCCAAGCCTTGGGGCTCTCTTCCCTTCCCTCGGTTTCCATCCGCTCTCCTTAGCTCCACGCTGCACATTCCTGCCAGGTGTCCCCTTGAGAGGAGACAGCTGTGCCGCACTGGCTCTGCACCCCCCATCCGGCACGGGCGCCCACTCCTCAGGTGTTCGCGGGGTTAGCAGCGCCACAAGCGCTCTCCCTAGAAAGGGAGTGGCAGTCAAGCATGATCAATGTGTTTCAGCTGTAAAGAGACTTCTGAGATGGGAACAGGGGCATGTGCCACGGCTCTGCGTGGGCCGAGGTAGCTCGTCACGACAAAGCAAAACTTAAGACAATAAGCGTTGCGACTTTCCTTCTAGCTGCGAGCTTCACAGCTCAGCCATCCCCGAGCAACCGCCCACTGGAGGACGCCTTCCGGAGCGCGCGTGTTTACACTTTTCCTACACCCAGTGGAGGAAACAAGCGCTCCCGGACCACGGGGTATTCCAAACCGTTACTCCGCCCGCCGGGGTGGGGCCAGCACAACGGCCGAGCCTGCGCAGCCGGCCAGGCCGGCTTCGCGGCCCCGGCGCACTACAAGTCCCAGAAGGCAGCTCTCCGCGGGGGCGGGCAGCCGCCCTACCTGCCTGGGGCTCATTCCTACCACTGCTCTCCCCCTCCCCGGTCCCCGCTGGTGTCCTTTCCCCAGTTAAAGGCTACTTTCCCTTGAAGCACATGAGGAGAAGCCTTGGCAACCTCGCTACCGAACTTCTTCACGCGCTCGCTTTCTCTGCCTCTGCACCAACTATGCCTGATGCCCTCACAGGAGTTGGGTAGTGGAGGCGAGAAAAGGAAGTCTTTGTAGACCAAAGCGGGGACGATCCGCTCGGACTTCCGCCTCCCGGCCTCCGGAAGGCAGTGCGCACGCGCGCGCTGCGACTCCGGCGCGGTTGACTTCCGCTCCCACTGTGCTCTGCGAGCCGAATCATGGATCACACTGGTAAGGAGGCGGAGGCATTGGGGGTCCCGGTTCCATGCCCCCTTGGCCGGCCTGGGACTGGTGGCCCAGCAGGCAAAAGGGATTACGCTCTCCCCACAACACTAGAGTGTGGCAGTGAGAAGAAATCTCACAGTTGCCTTCCCGTGCCCGGGAGGGGCCTGCTGCTTCCTGGCCTACTCTCTGGTGCGGTACCTACATCCTTGGTGCCGGCAATAGCCGCTCTTTATCTGTTTCTGCTGAGCTCCGAGCCCGGACCGGTGGGCAGCGTAGGCCTTTAGGAAGGGAGAGCGCCGGCTCTGTTTTATTCAGCCCAGCTGCTCTGCTCTGCATTGTGGGGACTCGCGGGTAGACTGCGGTCTCGGAGTCGGGGAATCCGCTGGGAGTGGATGGACAGGAGTAGGTTGGAGACTTCCTGCTGTCTCAGTCAGCTTTGGGCGGGTGCTGCAGTTGTAACCTCCTGTCGTCTCTCCTGTCCTTCATGGACTAGAGAGGTGAAAGAAGGGAGTCGGCTATAGTTTTTGGAATCATACTTGGAGGAGCTTTTCTGCCTAAACCAAAAGCATGCCCCGCGCTTCGGCTGTAGTCTTTACTCATCATTTGAGGGTGTTTACAGAGAGGAGCTTAAAATCAAGACATTCTCATCCTTTTCTCCAAGTAAGAGTAGCTCCACCCTTTCTTAAGTGTTTTCTGGCTTTTGCTTCTTTCTGGTTCTTGGATGGTGAATGTGTGCTCTTGGAATTAACAAGTGCCCCATACAGTTATAGCGACCATATCACAAATAGAGAAAAAGTATTTTTCGTAAGTATTGAGTTGTCCTCACTCATCATATGTCTATTATATAATTAGGTGCGTATGTTTGTTTATTTATGCCAGATACATACAGATATCTGTAGGTCGGGAGATGGAGTATGGAATGGTAAACAAGAAGGACTAAGTCCCTGATAGACCTTCTATTTTATGGAAGAACACAGACAATAAGTTCTTTTTTATTGTTTGTTTGCAGATTATAAGTGTTTTGAAGACAGTAAACAGGTGTTGTGGAGAGATTCATAGGAGGAAATTTCCGAGAGGGTTGTTAGGAAAGGTCTTTGTGGAAGGGTAACATAGCTAAGATCCGATGGATGAGAAGAATCCAGTCCTGGGAAAAAAGCAGGAGAAAGAGCATTTCCAGCAAGTGCATAGATGCTGAGTAGGAAGATGTAGCGAAGTTAGCTGCAGCCTAGTAATAGCCAGAGTTAAGAGTCCTGAGGTGAGATTGGAAAGGAGGGCAGCCGTCACATTCAGGTCATTGAAAGCCATGGTAAACGTTTGAATTTTATTTTAAGTGAATATCAAGGCATTGAACAGAAGTAGAGGAAGAACACAGCCTCTTTAAACAATGTAATAGGCTGTTCTATGGAGAATGGTGTTAAGAGAGGGAGGTAAGAATGTTGGAAAATAGGTGATTGCAGTAGACCGGAAGGGAAGGTTGGTTTGGTGGAAATGAAGGAGAATGGGCAGCTTCAGTAAATACTTGGGTAGTGTTTGTTGGAATGTGAGAGAAAGGAGAAATGCCTATGTTTTTGGTTTGAGCAGCTAGGTAGTGTCCATTATTGAGTTGAGGATAACTTGGGGCAGAAAACAGTCCTATTTTTGTAGAAGTGAGAGGAAAATTTGGGAATAGGTGTTTAGTCTTGGACTACTTAGTGTGAGACAGCTGTAGAGACACAGGAGAGGAGATGTCAAGTGGAGATGAGGGGTAAGAACTGCACTGAAAATACGTATTTAGAAGTTAGTACCTTTATTTATAGCTGGTATTTTAAAGCATGAGGACAGATGAGACCATGTAAGAAGGGTGTACTCAGAGGAGAAGCCGGCCTAGAACCAGGCTGTAAAGAATTCCGGTGTTTGGGAATTTATATAGAGTTGAAACTCTGGAATTTTGATGTTAGAATAGCAAACATTCAACTTTAGGAAAATAATTCTTATTTGAGCCCATTACTGGAATTGTGAGTCAAGTTCCTGCCATGATTGAGAGTCTATTATGTTAGGAAATCATAATAGGGGTGGGTGTAAAGAGTATTATCTTAATTCTTGAAGTTAAAAGATTGCCTAAGGAAGTAAAACTCATCCTAACATGGAAATATTCACCAATGAGCTAACCACTTAAAAAATTAGTTCCCACTCAAATGCCCCTTCTGCTTAACACTAGCTTCTTACATGTTTTTCTTAATGACTCAGTCTCTTTCATGTTTAGTATCCGAAGACAGTATCAAATACTGTGCATTGATTGTGAAATAAAATTATAAACCTTACAGAACATTCTGGTTCTCATGAAATTCATAAGCATGAATTTGATAACTGTTTAAATCACAAAGCCTTTGGCAAATGAGGAAATGCCAGTTAGCTAGATAATTGAAGAATCATGACAGGATAGGCTTCTCAAAAGAATAATTTTAATATTAAAGGATTAAGAGGTTCTTGGGGAAATTGATGAAACCCTTGAACATTATGCAATAATGACCCATTTTATGATCATACTGAAACATTTTGAATGTTTCAGTATGAAATGAACTGTATCCCAGATTTTGTAAAGTATTTGTTGATTCCTTTTATTCAAGATGAAAATCTTAAATCTTTTTTAAACTATAATATGGAAGTGTGCCTTTTTAAAGTGAATAAAATTGAATATAAGTTAAATGATAGTAGTCCTTAGTTACGTTCTGTGTAATATCTAAGAAATTTTTATTGTTAAGGACTTTATAATTTGTTACTGTATTCAAAAGGAAATTGTGCTTTATGTTCTGATTCTTAATTTAAAAACAACAGAAAGCAAAACAGCCCCCAAAGAAACCCAGAGTGTTATCACTATTAGATGCTGTACCTCATGAACTTGTATCTGTGAAGCAAAGTGGGAAAGGCCAGCCAGCTCTTGAAAGTTGTAGGCTATGCAAGCAACAGTAAAGACCTCAAGTGTTCAGGATGGTGTGAAAAGAACATGTAATAATGAAGTGTTGGTATTTTCATTCACAAAGGTAAAACCATTAAACCATTTTGATACTTGAATAGTTAATACTTGAGGGACAGCATCGAACTGATTGTATGTCTACAACTACTTGCTTTTTCGTTCATTGTAATGTCAGGAACACTTTTTGGGCAAGAAAAGCCATTCATATTTCTTTTGGCCAATACATTGCTTGTGAGTACTTTTACGTACATAAGCAACTACAATGAAAGCAGATGAAATGCCTTAATCACCTTGCGAGTATATTTAGTGAAGTGTTGAAAGCTGATTAAGTTGGGTTTATTCTAACTCAGGATTGTAGCTAACCATGTAATTCCCCTTCCCCACTTTTTTTTTTTTTTAAGATTAGCTGTTGTAAGAGTAGTAAGTATACTGAAAGATAATTAAAATAATCATTAAGGACCCATTTTTCATTTTGTTTGAGATATTGTTCAGAAAAAGTGCAAATGAATGTGAACTTAGTGTGTGTCTGTAATCATAGTAGCCTTGGTGGCCATTAATACTAGCTTACTACTTGCAAATTTGGCTTTGCTGAATTTAATGTGGATGGTTTGGCCCTCAATCTTGACTGTAATATTTCCTGCAGGGGCAGTTACACAACCTTGTTCAATAACTTGTCATGTTTAAAACACTACAAATTTAAAAATGTTATTTGTATTTCCTGTTTTAAGCATTTTCCTTTTTGACTTCAGTAGGTCAAGTTAAATATTTATCTTTTCATCTACTTGAACAAAGATAACTCTTAAGCTGTAGATGGAGTCAGTTCTATGAAATAATACTCCTGTTACTCATGGAACAAGAATTAATTTATTCTATAGACAATAACAAGCAAAGACTCCAGGGACCAGAAAGTGACAGTTGTTTTGACCTAGTTGTATTACAGGAACTTTGCATCCCCTTAAATTATAATTTTCCATTACAGTGTCGACTAAGAACTTAAGTCACATGTTAAAGCACAAATACATTGTTGCATGTTTTTACTACTAAATGCTATAATGATTTTTACTATATTTCTGAATGATTTTTAGAATAACTATTTTACACTTAAAGAATAATCACATTTCTTAAAACTTCACTTTCAAATGGATTATTTAATTTTGCCTTCATCAGTTTTAGAAAGTTCAGTTTACTAAATTTATTGTCTGCTTTGCAAGCTTGATGATCAAACATGGAAATAGGAATGGTTTCCATTTTCTCCTTACTGCTTTTCTTTTAAAAAACATCTCTTATAGTTCAAGACAATGATTCTTAGGTTCATGAATGGTTTCATGTTTCTGTAAACTCTCGAATTATATGAAAAATTGTATTCACTTCTCTAGGGAGAGGTTGTATGACTTTTATCAATTTCTTAAAGGATTCCATACCTCAAAAAGAGTTAAAAAGCATTGTCTTAAGTGGTAATCCAACACAAAATTAATAGTTAAACTTAATGTAATTTTGAAAGAACCCAGATCTCTAACCTTGATAACGTTAGGTATGTTGTTTTAATACCTATGGCAGAATAATTTTCAAAAAGAAAAACTGAAAGAAATTACAACTTTTTTTTCCCTAACATAGACAATGAGTTACAAGGCACTAATAGTTCTGGATCCTTGGGTGGTCTTGATGTTCGCAGACGAATTCCTATAAAGCTCATCTCCAAGCAAGCAAACAAAGCAAAACCTGCACCTCGAACTCAAAGGACTATAAACAGGATGCCTGCAAAGGCTCCACCTGGTGATGAAGGTAATGTTGTTAACTAATAGGTCCAACACTCTTTCTGTTTTATCTGATTGCTCCAGATAGTCTGTGTGATCTTACTTATTGGCTACCTCTTTTTTATCTTACATATTCTATTCATTCTTCAACCTTCTTGTTTGACTTCTTGTTTTAGCACATTGTATTTTAATTTCCCTTCATAAATATTTTTGATTCGGTTCCTTTTGTTGTTGAAGGCAATACAGCTCATTGTTCAGTAATCTAAACAGTATTGCAGAAAACAACATTAAAAGTAAAATCCTTCTATCCAAAGATAGTCCCTGTTGACTTTTTTATACAAAAGTATTAATTTTTTTATGTGTAGTTGCCATTTTTTCATGTATTATGCATTTGAGATTTTTTTCTTATTAGTACATACAGATCTACCTTATTAAAAAAATAGATTTGAGTATTTATAGACATACCATAATTTATTTAACAGTTTTTCCATTTTTTTGCTGTTACCAAAAATGTTGCACCAGATACTCTTGGACATGTAGTTTAGAATGTATACTTTGTAGAATTTGTACTTTGCATGGATTTGGCCTTTTTTTTTTTCTCCAAAGACTTTAAAAACTACAAATTTGGATATTAAAACTTGATAGATACTGTGCATTTTAGCGTTTGACAAGTACTGTCAAACTGCTCT